TATAAGGCTTTTTTTGTTTTTTACATTTGTATGCTGTTCTGCACCTATCAAATTCCCCCATTCTATGTAATTATTTGATAAAGGGAGTCTCCCTTTAATTTCAGGCTGGAAAACAGAAAAAACAGAAAAGCTGGGGCGTATGTCTGAGTTCTTCAAAATGGTTGTCAGTTTTGATTGTACTTTTTTTGCCAGAACAGTTGAACTGATCAATTAAGGAATTTTGAATTAAAAGTGTTTTTTTAAGGGTGATGAATAAAGTATTTAATAATACATATTCCAATAATGAAACTTTTTCAGCTTCCCAAATTATCTATAAAAAAGACTTTTGTTTTTTACAATGGATAATTACAAACCTTGTTTGATTTTTTTCCCCCAAAATATCCAGGTGTCCCTCCCATAAATAACCTTTCTTTTACCCCCTCCAACCTATCCGCAATATTTCCTTACATCTCTATATTCTGGACACATTGGGAGCTGTTACATTGTTTGCTGATATACATAATTAAGGAATTTAGGAGCCACCAGCATACACCAATTATACACCAATTATTCTTGACTGACAAAGCTCAATAAAGACTCATTGGGCTTATGTAACAGAGATTATAAAAACCTCATGGCCAGATAAAAAAGCTTTGATGTGGGAAACATCTGTTCTTACAATAAGGTCCAATCTGGCAAGTCTACAAATTAGCCTTTTGGTATAGACAGTATTTCTTCCATTAGAACCTGAAGTAACACCCTTCTATAATGCAGTATCACATTGGATTCTGAAACAGCATGCTATATTCTATCCAAGTTAGTTTTTGAACTTTTACTTCTGCCAACATCACGATTAGAGCAGAAATGAGTATCTGTGAGCAAGATCAAACTTCATAAATCCACCCAGTGTAGATTTGAATTCAGATGTTAATTGTATTTGACAGCTTTGTTCATAGGTTCAGCAAAAGTTGTCAAATTTTATTTTTATCATTTGTGACTTATGTTCCATACTGTCCACATCATTTAAAGGCGAGTGCCATTCTTTTGAACTGAATCCATTTCTTTGGAGTTAGAAGAGGAAGTCATGCCCTGTTCATATACAAACCAAGGAAATTAAAAAATGTGGATTTAAACTGCTTTAGCCCCATCTTTTTTAAGTGTATAGGAACTTGTGATCCCAGGAAAACATGCAGCTGCTCTACAGAATTGCAGACAGCTGCTGCATTGGTGCCCCTAACAATTGCAAAGCATCCTTTTGGAATCAAATATAAAATGCTACATGACTCTATATGAACAATCCATTTTTTGCTGGAGAGGAATTTTTATGGTGGGTGTGTGTGCAAATGTGTGTCCACATGTGTGTGAGGGCATACACAGGCATGTGAAAGGTGAAGCAGTAATTTCCTCAATTCAGGTTTTTGTTTTTTTTGGGGGGGGAGATCTATAGTATTCATACTAGTGGTAATTAAAGGAATTTTAAGCAAGACTTTCTAACCCCCCCCCAAAAAATAAATGATAAGCTCTTCTGAAGGCGATAGGCGATTTTAAAAATTTGATAAATCAAGATAGACTTCAAAATAGACCATGATAGACATGAACTTCTATTGATTCATTCTTATAAAATTACTTTTGTAGTAGAAATACATGATTCCACACTTGTTGCAACTGTTTTACCACTAGTACCGTACACGTTGATGTAAGCTGTTTAAGCACTGTCTTATTGATTTTTTTCTGTGGCTGGGAAGTGAAATTTAACTCCCAGCTTTGGATCTGCATTCCCCTATTCTTTCCTACTGATTTGTTTCAAAGTGAATATTGTGTGTATAGCAGCTTGGTTACACTCGTGACTGGGTTTTGGGTTCTGTATATGATTTGGCACTGGAATGGTTTTTCATGCTTCTTTCTGACTCTTCCCTGGAAAAGAATCTCAGGACAATGTTGAATTCAGTGACATGTGAATTCATTTACTTTCATAACCAGTTGGCTGTTTTGTGCTTTCAATTGCAAATAAGGGGAGATACAGACTGGATCTATTACATTATTGTACCTTGGGATCAACAGACAATAAGGGATTCATGTTGTCAGTGGGTTATCTCTTACTTGGTTAGAGGTCAGCAGAATTGTCAGAGATGCTGGTTATCCTTGCTTGGGTAGTGATTTGCTTTTTACTTTGGATACAGGTAGTCCTCTACTTAAAGTCGAGCCCTAAATTTCTGTTAAGCAAGACAGTTGTTAAATGAATTTTTCCCCATTTTACAAACTTTATTGCCACAATTATTAAGTGAATGACACAGCTGTAAATTAATCTGGCTTTCCCATTGACTTTGCTTGTCAGGGGGTCGCAAAAGATGATGACATGAGCCAGGGACACCACAACCATAATATGAGTCAGTTGCCGAGTGTCTGAATTTTGATCACGTGATCAAGGGGGGATGCTGCAATGTTGTGAAAAAGTGTAAAAAACAGTCATAAGTCACTCTTTCCAGTGCCACTGTAACTTTGAACAGTCACTAAATGAACTATTAGAAGTTGAGGACTACTTGTATGTTTCTTGAGCGCTTTATCAAAATATAAAGAACATGGGATATGCTATGCTATTTTTATCTTATAAGAGAACTTGTTTATATTAAAAAAATTTTTTAAAAAAATTCTTGTTTCAGGGCAGATGGTAATCTGTTAGATGAAAGCCATCTCAGGAAAAGATTGTTGTTTTGTTCCATTTGAGTACTAGGCCTTGAATTTTCTTCCTTTCCCTTCGTCTCTTTCTCTCCCTTTTGGTCAAGATTAATCAGCAAATCAAAAAATCATTTTGTAGTTTCCCAATGATCCAATTGCTTAATGATAAACGACTGGAAAAAAATTAACCGGGTGCATTTTTGTACAAAAGATCTTACATTTGGGATGTGTTTTTGTAAAGAAAAGATCATTTCAGGCCTATGCATCTTTTCCAATTTGGAATAATCTTAACCATCCTTTCGGGGATGCCGTTAAATTTTGTCCATATATAGGACAATACTTATCATTTGTCCATTTGTTAAAATGATACATCAGTATTCAAAGAAATAGACTTTAACATTTTTTTTAAAAAAAGGATTTAGTACCATTTTTATTAGTAGCATTCACACATTAGGTGAACATGACAGTAGGATGCTTCCATGGGTTATCAAATTCTTTATACAGAAAACAATATAGAAATAAAGAGATCTCTGAAGTGCTATCACTAATATTAGGAGTCCAATGACAAGTATAATGCAATGGCCAACAGACCCATTTAGCTAATTCTTTAGCTATTGTAACACAATTTCTTTTGCCCTGGTCCCTTTAAGTGTGTCTAGCCCATTGCCATCCTGTTGATTTGGTGGAGTGCTGGTCTCTGCATATTATGTCCCTACAAAACTTGCTTATCTCCTCCAATGAGTCTGGCCCAGACTCAGATTTCTTTTATCTGACCATTGTCTTGTTTATGCCTCAAGGTTATTCCTTTTGCCCATTACAGAGTGGGATCCTGGGATTTCAAATCTTTTTTTTTCTTTTCAAGTAGTTGGTGGGTGATGGTGGCATCTAGAAATTAGTCAAATTTTCATGGAGAAGCAGATATGATAACTTGAATTTTTGAGTCCAGAAAATTAGTGTGTAGTTATCATTGAAATCATAGAATTATAGGGCTGGAACATATCTTAGATGTCTTCTAGTCCAACCCCCTGCCCAAGGCAGGGGTCCTTATACCATCCCATACAAATGGCTGTCCAGTCTTTTCTTGAAAGCTTCCAGTGATGGAGCACCCAGCAGTTCTATTGATAGTTCTCATCCATCAGGAAATTCTTCCTTAGTTCCAGATTGGAATTCCCTTTGATGAGCTTCCACCTATTGCTTCTTGTCCTATCTGCAGGTGCTATGGAGACTAAATTTCTTCCTTGTAATAGCCCTTCAAGTATTTGAAGATGGGTATGTCACCCCTAAGCCTTCTCCTTGTTAGGCTAAATATGCCTCGTTCCCTTAGCCATTTATCATATGATTTAGCCTTCAGACCCTTTATCATCTTTGTTGCTCTTCTCTGCACTCTTTCTAAGGCTTCAGCATTTTTTTGTATCACGGGGACCAGAATTGGACACAATATTCCATGTGTGTCCTCACTAATACAATATAGAGCAGTAATATTACTTCTCATGATCTTGATGCTATTCCTCTGTTAATTCAGTCTAGGACTGCATTGATTTTTCATTTTTTGGCAGCTATGGCACACTGCTGAGTCATATTTAAGTGGTAGTCCACCAGGAGACTTAGATCCCTCTCACAGGCATTATTGTTAAGCCAGGTACTACCTATTCTGTACATGTGCATTTGGTTTTTCCTGCCTAAATGCAGGTCTCTACTTTTCTTCCCACTGAACTGCATCTTGTTGGGTAGGGCCCAATGCTCAAGTGTTAAGATCCTTCTGAATCCTGTGTCTATCTTTCAAAGTGTTAGCATTTCCCCCCAGCTTGGTGACATTTGCAAACTTGATGAGCTCCCATTCTACCCCCTCATTTAGATCATTTATGAAGATTTTGAAGACTACTGGCCCCAGTACAAAACCTTGAGGTGCCTCACTGCATGCCTCCCTCTGAGTAGATGTAGTCCATTGAGGACTACACACATACAGATTGTGCTTTGTCAGCCAAGCGCAAATCCATCTGATAGTGGTACTATCTATCCCACATTGTTCTATCTTATCAAGGAGTAAGCTGTATTCTACTTTATCAAATGCCTTACTGAAGTCTATGTATATTATATCCACAGCATTTCCTTAATCCACTACTTTAGTTATTTTATCAAAAAAGGCAATAAGGTTTGGTTGACATGATTTGCTTTTAACAAACCGATATTGGCTTCTAGTAATCATCTTGTTCATTTCCAGATGCTCACAACTCTACTGCTTGATTATCTTTTCCAGGATTTTCTCAGGTATTGATGTCAAGCTGATTGGTCTATAGTTTCCTGGTTCTATTTTTTCCCCTTTTCGAAGATTAGAACCACATTACCTCTTTTCCAGGCCTCTGGCAGTTTCCCCATGCTCCAGGAGCTCTGAAAGATTTTATTCAGTGGTTCCGAGATCTCATCTGCCAGCTCCTTCAGTATCCTGGGATGTAAACCATCTGGTAATCATGAAATCATGATAATTATGTAATATAATCATCATTACATTATCCTACAGCAGAAGTCCTTGGAGGCATGTACAATAAAAGCAATAATAAAATAATAATGAATTAAAGCAACAATTAAAACCTACACATCAATAGAAATGCAAAAAAAAAATGAAGATTCAGGATTAAAAAAAAAAAGCTAAAAAAGAGATGATTACTTAAAACATTCAACAAGTCTTTGCCTAATCTCACACTGTATATGTGATTGCTTGGAGCAGACATTTCTTCATCTTCATTCCCAAGATCTAAACAAAGTTATACATTATAGTCAATGCCAACAGACTGAGTTCATCCTGGAAATCAACTGGAAAATGATAAATCTGATATTATATTGGTGTTATATGATTGTATCCTAATATCCAGCTCTGGTCACTATATTTTGTATGAACTGAATTTCTAAATCATCCTCAGTCCTTGAAAAATTTTAATGGGAGATTACTAAGATGTAGATTACTAAAGATAGGCTCTCTTTTTAAACAGAGTTGTACTTGATGTACCATCCAAACTTGTAAAAGGCAATTCCTCGGCATAGGGTACCTGTGCGACTTTAGGGACAAAAAAGTATCTATCAACTATCCTTTGATAGATCCTTTAGGAGGAGCAGAACTCTTTCAGAATATGCCAAACTCCTCATGCAGGTAGATGACTCACCAATGAGCACTTCTGTCTTGTCTGGTTTGAACTGCAGATTACTGGCCCTCTTCTAGACAATTACAGCAACCAGACCTTGATTAAGCATTTCCACTACCTCACTTGGATGAGATAAAAGTGAGAGACCAACTGTTAAGACTTCATATGTCCTGGGATTGAAAGAGTAAAGAGAGATAACAGAGTAATAAGTACAACACACTCTGTGGTCCACTGGAACGCAAGGTAAACCTCTTGGAAATCTCCCAGCGAGGAACCAGCAGAAACATAAAAGATCAGCAGCAGAAGTGCTAGTGTTTTGTAGGAATGATGGAGGATAAGAATGTATTAGACTCTTATCTTTTTCCCACAGGTTCCCTCCCTCCTGACCCCAGCTCCTCCCCATGTCTTCTTTTAGAGGCAAGATCTTAGTGAGATAATTGGGGCAATGTTCCTCTGTCTCATTTAGTCCCAAGAAGCCAAACTGTGATAGTGCAAGGAATAAGATACCATAAGCTACTTAATGTCACCCAAGCAGATGTCTGCTTGAACAATTAGAGCTTCTCTTTGCTTTCCTCCCCATCTCTTTTGCATAGTTCCATCTATTTTCCAAAACTGGACTTTTCCAATCTTCAATAACTAATTAAGGAATGAATAAAGAAAGAGAAGTCTATCCTGTTAGCAATTAGTTGTAAATATTTGAGAAGCAGTAGAAATGGTTTGCAGTGAAATGTGTGGAATCCCCTTGATAAATACATTGATGTATCTGGGAAGTAATTACATTTGATCTTTAAAGACAATTGTTCTACTTTTACCAATACCTCCTGCTACCTCTCAGTTTTCTTCCACATGTAAGGAAGTAGAGCGTAGAGAGGAAAAAATCCATAAAGACTAATATCTTCTGCTGTTAGCCTTGAATGGAATAGTGGAGATCAGGATTGTCCTATCTGGTTCCAGAATTCTCCTTTTTTTTTCACTGGTAACTTTTCTGCAAAATGCCTTTACCAAGAATTTCCATTTATATATTCAATGGTATTTATTTGATTCCTATCCCATCTTTCTTCCATGAGCTCAAGACAATGCAGCTAAATCTCCCCCCTTCAGTTTTCCCCCAGAATTAAACTGCTCCCAAATTCACCCAGTAAATTTCCAAGCTTGAAAGTGGGCTGAAACCTGGATCTCCTACTCTAATTTTAACCATGACTATGTCAGCGCTCTAGATATTAGAGCAGACTTTTCCTAGCCTGAAAAGCCACTTGTCCTAATATCTGAGATGAACCTTTCATACCAGTCTTACATGTTATTACTGGTATGCTATGATTGATTACAGGTTGCTCACCCTGCTATAAAGGAGATTTTCAACTGTTTTTTAGAATTCTGATGAGATATTAGAGATAGCAATTATGCCAACTCCTAGCACTGTAAATGGTGCCCAGAAGACAAAGGAATTTGGGCAGATGCAGGAACACTTGTGTAACTTGCTGTATAAAGTAATTCTTGAACATCTCCTTACTTATACTAATTCTATAATATATTGTTGGTTCAGAAAAATCAATACCTCCTATAAAGCAGTAGTTAAAATTTCCTTCCTGTATGAAGTAAACTATAAGGGAGATTTGTAAGGCTTGTCTTTTGCCAATTTTGTACACATCATGAATAATCCCCAAGCATTACAGTAGTATAATCCTTTTTCAATAACATTCACCTTTTAATTCTTCTACAATTAATCAGAGGAGGAAAATGAGACAACTTATACTTTGATCTCATTATGAAAACTTAGTTTGAATGAAGTTGGCAGACTTAAGCATGCATTATTTATACACAAAATTCAGAGATTGAATTTCTGCCTCAAGACATACACAGAGGAGGATCCCACTGAAGAAAGGTGGGAGAGAGTATTTGTCAATTCTGCTTTAAACTTCTAGATGAACTCCCACATTGTTTCAAGGATTCCCCTAGCTCCAGAAACCCATTTTTCAGGGAGACATTTGGGGAAGACTTCTGAGAATACCATGAATAGCCAAGAAAACAAACAAAGGAATCGTAGAAGAATATGGTCATAAATGAGTAGGTTCAAATTATCCTATTTTGGATAGATAAAGACCCAGTTTCCTTGAAAACTCCATAGTTCTAGCAAGGTGGAATGAAAGTGAAGAAAAGGATACCCACCCAGCAACAAGGTAGATGAACTCAGTTATAGCAATGATGAATACACCACTGCATGATCTGCATGGCCAGGTGAGGAACAGATAATCCTGGAGACAATCTAACTACAGGGTCACTAGGCGACAGCATTGACTTGATGACATATAATCAGTCAATCAAGGAAAGAGAAGAAAAAATTGGTGAAAATAAACTCCCTTCCTTCCTCCAGCAGGAACATTGTCTGAAAAGGTTTAGCTCATACTAAGCCATAGGAAACATTTGTGGCTAGAAAATATAGTTTAAAATCTCTTAAATTATGCTCCCAATTTATTTGAAATCAATAATTCAGTTTGCCTCAAAAATCTATTTTTTTACATTTCAGAAGAAATTACTTGCCTTTGGAACTGTATAGTTGGAAACACATGAAATGCATTTGAAAAGAAGTCTTAGATAGTACATACTAACATTCTAAAACACACTGAAATACATTATTTCATAGGTTCTTTTGCTATTATCTTTCCTGGCAGTTAAATAAAATTGTAACATTTTAATACAGGTACTCCTTGACTTACAACAGTTCATTTAGTGACCATTCAAAGTTACAACAGCACTGGAAAAAGTGACTTATGACCGTTTTTCACACTTATCCCCATTGCAGCATCCCCAGGGTCACGTGATCAAAATCCAGATGCTTGGCAACTGGTTCATACTTATGACGGTTGCACTGTCCTGGGGTAATGTGATCACCCTTTGCAACCTTCTGATAAGAAAAGTCAATCGGGATGCCAGATTCACTTTACAACTGAGTTACTAATTTAACAACAACAATGATTCACTTAACAACAATGGCAAAAAAGTTGTAAAACGGGGCAAAACTTAACAGATGTCTCACTTAGCAACATAAATTTTGGACTCAATTGTGGTTGTAAATCAAGGACTACCTGTAGTTTTCAGTAAATCAGATAATAAAATTTGTTCAATGACAATATGTTATATTGAAACCTAGTTAATCACTTCACTTAATTTGCCTTCTATACTTGGCCATAATATTCAGCCATGAGAAACAGAAGTCACTATCTGAATATTACAGTGTTTTCCTTCCCTCCTGCACCTTCTCCTCCCAGTAAGCAGCAACCTGGCTATCCCTGATTTCAGTAGCAAAGCATGGAGGTTATTTGTTGGAAGGTTGTGGCTTTGAGAAAAGACAACTTGCATGATATCACTATGGAGATTTCCAGGGAATTCAGGATGTTGTATATGGAAGCTTGTTTTTGTGGGGTCCCATAGCAATCCCCACTAAATAGATTGGGTACTTGGTGCCCTTCATTTACAAAACACTCTTTAATTCTAGATAGTTATTTGGGCTGTCATCTTCCTGGTTCGAATCCAACCACTTCTTATAATTTGCATCAGGGCCTCCATCCAATCATTTGATTAGATTTCTGTGGCAGCAATCTTGACACATAATCAAATACTGTAGCCCTGATTATCATATATTTAATTATGTTTATATCCTTCCATATTTTAATGAGTACGAATCACTGATCACAATAAAGGATGTTGTATATAACATTTGAGTAGAAATGTTGTAAACTTAGTAAAACTGTTTGATAACTAGTCTTTTATTCTATTATGCTAAGAAAGTATGAATGTACTGTAATTTAGCCAAAGCAAAGCAAATTCAACATTTGTTTATTTTGATGGCATAGATAAACTTCTGATTAATTTAACTTCCACTGAGACATCATATGCACTAATCTTACATTTCAGAACAGCAGTCAAGGAATTATGTATTGTACCTAAGTGATCCATCCATGTGAAAAGATCAAAGAGCCTCAATCATGTTGTAATGTAGGCAATGCTTGTAGCCTCATCCCAGAGCCTCATGACCCCTGGTATTCCAAGTGTCAGATGAAGGTAGCACAGCACAACTGAAATAATGACAAACCATCTTCATCAAAAACAGAATGTGCATAAGGCAAACAATTCTGATTAATTGTCTTTACTTGAAAAATGGTAGGATCTGGGCAAATTCAGAAAACGTAAGTTTGTGGCTTAGCTAGGAAACCATAAAGCAATGGTCTGTCCCATTAATGAAAAAATAACTTCTCCCAAAGCAGCCTATGTATTTATGGGTATTGAATGAATTTAAAAATTGGAATTCACACTTACTATTTAGACAGTGCTAGTGCACTATTTATACTACTGTAATTATTAAATATTCCTACTTAGTTTTATTTGTATTAGATAGCACTTGAATCAATTGAAAATGTGTAATATATGCTCAAGATGCTTTAAATCAATAACTGTCTATTAATACAATGAGAATGGACTCAAAGGTGGTGTGGTTTTAGTCAATGACACACAGATATGAGTGGTCTGTTGTGCATATTGTGGGTAAAATACAAGTAGATCTTGCCTTACGACCACAATCGAGCCCAACATTTCTGTTGCTAAGCGAGACAGTTGTTAAGTGAATTTACCCCATTTTACGACCACTCTTGCCACAGTTGTTAAGTGAATCATTGCAGTTGTTAAGTTAATAAAACTGTTGTTAAGTGAATCTGGTTACCCCATTGACTTTGCTTGTAAGAAGATCGCAACAGGTGATCCCATGACCCCAGAACAGTGCAACAGTCATAAATATGAATCAGTTGCCGAGTGTCTGAATTTTGATCATGTGATCACAGAGATGCTGCAATAGTCGAAAGTGTGAAAAATGGTCATAAGTCAGTCTTTCCAGTGGCATTGTAAGTTTAAACAGTCACTAAGTGAACTGTTGTAAGTCAAGGACCACCTGTATGTCTGCCTTCCATGAAATATACTTTTCCAAAATCCTGGCCATTAGAGACACATTCTCAGTATGATTTTTAAACAATCCACTCTCATAAGGCACTTAAAGAAATCAAATTAAAAAAGAAACTTTCATTAACAAAGTTAAATATAGTTTTGCAATCATTTATTTTAAATGCTATATTTGGCCAATAAACCTTTCATTACATTGAAGGCCATCTATAAAAGCCCATGTAATTAAGTTAGTTCTATTACTTTCAAGACAATGGTGATACATCTGTTTCTGAAAATCATTAAAATCAAGAGTGTTCAATTCAAATTTGATTGCAATTAATTTCCCACTCCATATACTCAGTGTCAAATCCTTTTATTTGCTCAGCATCTTTTCCATTCTGGCATTCTGATCATATTTTTTTAACATAGATGATGAAAAGCAAAGCATTTGTGCTTTGTGCAGATAGTATAAACCAAATCATATAATATCTATGGAATTCTAAGCTTCATTTATCTTTATAAATATTATGGCTTCTATTAAACCATTTTATCATGAAAGTCAATTCCATTGGAATCAGTAAGATTTAGTTCCAGGTAAAAACTGGGAGTAAACTTGGAATAGTTCCTTGAATAAAAGCAAGTATAATCTGAATACTCTAAATTGTGGGCTTTTATAGGATCAAATGCTGTTACCTCTGCATCAAGGCTTTTTTTCTTTCCAGAGAATGAGGATCATTTTTACTAAAAGCCTAAAACTGTGGAGGCATTTGGTAGGAAAATATTATTTCCACATTAGAAATGACTGCTATTTTAAGTATCTCTTTACACTAGTTGCCAGTAGCTTCCTTAAACATCTAAACATTTATTTTTAGTCAGCAGAGAAGGGAAAGTTTATATTCAATGAGATTTACACAAAGCAAATAGAAATCTGACAAGCATATTATTAATTGTGCATGCAATTTTATAAATATTCAGTGGAGGTGTCCTAAAGACAGTATAAATTACCAAATAGGTATCAACAACTCAATTATTCCAAATGCAGTAACAAGTAATATATTTAGCACAGATCCTAAATAAATCAACTGGATTTATAAATGAAGAATAACTGTTTAGGCTTGAAATGGCAAATGTCAACTGTTCAGGTAATTATAACTGCATTCTAATAGTGATGATAAAAAAGTGCAAGAATAATGTTCAATGTTGTATGTTTTCAGTTGGCTGCACCAAATTTACCATACAATTATATCAGGCTCTGTTCCTAAAAAAACCTTCTAAAAGATGGGCAGATGTTAAGAGTTACTAGCGATCAGAAGAATCGTCTAACAAAGAAACATTTCTATCTGAAAGCAGAGATGTTTGTTGGGTGTCCTATGGAGGATAATTGTAATGGAAGAATGGACTTGCGTATTTAAAAGAAAAAAATGCAGACCCCAAGAACTTGTCCTCTCTTGACAAAGTCGCTCCAACCCGAACGGCGATTTGCTCTAAAACAAGCAGGGAGTTTCGGGACTGGGGCGGTAGGGAACAGGCCTAACTCAGGGCTAACCGTCGTTGCAACGCGTTTCTTTTTTAACGACGACAGACGAAACAGAGAGATCAACGAGGCGCGTGGCTGGGGAGGAAGTCTGCTACTATGGCCCCTCTTATCTCGAAAAGTACTCCGGGTGACAAATGGGGTGAAAGGGGTTTTTTTTTGACCTCGCTGGTCTTGCCTGTTGTTTTCAGGCATCCTCCTCCTCCTCCTCTTTCTTGGGTCAAGAAACAGAAGGAAGGAAGGAAGTTCTCGATGCTAAATACACCCCAGCAACTGTCGTGAAACTGCATTAGGAAGAGGAAGAGGAGGTCGCGGGGGCTACCCCATCGGCTTTCAACTTTTTCTCGCGCCGATCCCTTTGCCTTGAGCGCACGGACTGCCGGCAGCGGTTCTTGGCGGGGAGGCTGAAGGATCAAGCCGAATTCAGACCTTAGAAATTAGGGCCGATTTGATAGGTTGTTATCTACACTGGGCGGCGTTTACCCTATTCCACTATTGGGTGTGCGAACGCTTTTCGTAAGCTCTGCCTGTTGTTGTGCGCGTGCCGAGAACGAATCGAGCGCTCTTCCACCTTTTAATGCTTCCTCCGAAGACTCTTAATTGATTCGAAAAGGTTTCCGACTACCAGATGTGGGGTTGGAATGGGGACTGTGTTGACAATGGGTCATCGGGGGCTTGCTTGGAAAGTAAGATGCTGATCTTAAAGTTTATAATGGAAGGGTGTCTAGGAAGACTCCCCCCTCGCCCAGAGAGCAGGGCGGGTCTCGGGATTCTCGCTATTCCCGGAGTGGGATTTTTCTGAACGGGCAGAGGGAAGGCAAGGACGCGAAGGATTTGAGTTGCTTTGGAAAGCATCGGAGCCGGAGGACCGCGCAAAGCCCCCGGCGCTACGGCCCCTCATCAGCATAATGGTTGCGTTAGCCTTGCAGGCAGAGTTCTGTCTATAATATAAACCGCAAACAGCTAATCGTTAGAAATCCCAGCCTCCAGCCCACGCCCACGCGCACCCATTCTGGACCCATTCTTGACTCCCCAAATCGATCCTTTTCAGTCGGTGGCTTTTTTGCTAGATCAGCCCCGCGGCTTTTTCGAAGTGCTGGCCGAAGTCAAGAGTTGTTCGCCTTCCTCAGAGGCCACCCCTAGCAGCCTATTTTAGAAACTCGCCCCGACAACCCGCCCCCTCCACACACACACACACACACACACAGACAGACAGACAGACAGGCTTTTCGTCCCACGCAGTTTGTTGCTCCAGTCGGAAGTTCGCCCTCTGACAGATTCTCGAGTTCAGGAGCCGCCTAAAGTTCCTGTCCTCCTTATTTTGACTACTTTTCCTTTCCTAAACCCCACCCCGGAGAACTTGCTGGTTTTGCGGAAGAAGAACTGAAGCTCATTCTGAGCGAAGGGCAGACTTTTGCTCAAAAGTTCTCCTGCCCCCTCCCAATTATTATTCGCTACCCAAAGCGACAACACTCGCGAGCAAAAAGCCCACCAAGTGCACTCGCACCTTCGTTTTATTCGACTCGGGTGGAAGGGAGGGGGAGTTTGCTGAAAGACCCCCGTAGGAAAGCGAGCAACTCCGCTTCCAGCCAATAAATCTTGCCCGGAGGAGCGGCAAAAAGGCTCAGGAAGCTAGTTTACCTCCTCGCCCTTCCAAAGAAAGAAGAAAATAAGGACGCGGGGAGGGAGGGGGGGCACAAAGCAGCCCAAACACGTAGCAGTGGAAGACAGACGCGCCGGTGCGAGAGAGAGAGAGAGAGAGAGAGAGAGAGAGACGGGGCGCGCGATCGAAGCGGAACGGAGCGAAAAGAGAGGAAGAGACGCGCTCGCAGCTCTGCTGCAGCCGGGACTTCGCCGCGGCGCTTGGCCAAGAAGCCGCGCGGCCGCCCAAACGCCTCCCGCATTCAGACGCACTTTTTCCCTACCGCGATTTTCCCCGCAAGCCCTCTGCTCTCCCTTTCATCGGAGCCGGTTTCCCTTGTCCTCCCCGCATCCCTCTCCGTCCCCTCCAGTCCCTTCTCCCCGAATCTGTTTTCGACCCACCCACCCCCCGGTCTTCCTCCAACGCCTCTTCGAGCGGTCCCTCTGAGTCCCCTGCAGACCTCGCTAACTTGTGGCTGTTGTGATGCGTATTCCCGTAGATCCCAGCACCAGCAGGAGGTTCAGCCCCCCTTCCAGCAGCCTGCAGCCCGGAAAGATGAGCGAAGTCAGCCCGGTGGTGGCGGCAGCCCAGCAGCAACAACAGCAGCAGCAGCAGCAGCAGCAGCACCAGGAGGCGGCGGCAGTAGCGGCGGCGGTGCCCAGGCTTCGCCCGCACGATAACCGCACCATGGTGGAGATCATCGCCGACCACCCAGCCGAGCTGGTCCGCACCGACAGCCCGAACTTCTTGTGCTCCGTGCTGCCTTCACACTGGCGCTGCAACAAAACTCTCCCGGTGGCATTCAAGGTAAGGAGAGCTGGGCAACCTTTCATCAGTTTCCCCCCCCCACACACACCGCCCTTCACGATGGCCCAAGGCAATTTCCACATTTCCTCCTGGCCTGGGTAAGGGGCAAGGCGTCAGGAGCCAATGTGATAAGTTAGGGCCTTGGCACCCACTGCGTGCAGTTTAGGGGGATTTGTAAGTGTTGGCTGCTATTCTCCAGGAGGACCTTAAGCAGCACTGAGATAGAACTTTCCATTAGCTGGGAATTGCCCATCTATAGGTACCTGGCCTTCTCTTGGGGGGGGGGTGTTAATAGCCTTCGCTTTATGGCCTCCTCCTCACTGCCTGTTTTTAAAGCCTTCCTTGTTACTGGCACAAGTCTGCTTCTCACTTTTCCTTAAATCCTAAGAAGAAGGCATCCTCTCCTCTTCCTACCCTACCCTGATTATTGCAGTGGCCAAAGGATCCTTCCTTCTTAAAGAAAAGTGCAGAAAAGTTTGAACATGAATTCATCTTGTGCCTTTAGGAGAGGACTTGTGGTCCTCTTTAAAATAGGAGATTTGTGTCTTTTGCCACATCAGAAAAGGAGGGCACTGTGTATTTGTGGTCGTAATCAAGGAAAACAGAGGTATCCTTAGTCTTAGTCCTTAGACAGTTCTCCAGTCCTCTGTTGGCTATTAGTTTCTTTACCATCTAGGATGCCTGTTTATAGTTCTTGATCAACATTTACCTCCCTCATATTAGCTCCAGACCGGAGTTCATTGGCTTATTATTAGCAAACCGCCTGGTAAGATGAACACAAATTAGAGTGATGTATTAGTATATACAGAGAGCATTTAAAATAAAATGACCCCAGCTGTTACAAAATGTTTTCCACAAATAATCATAAAGATAGGATTCATCTAATTGACCAAAACATCAGGCAAAACCTCTGGGGACACTGGAACTATTCTTTCCAGAATGAAAGAGGGGGGGGGGGTTGTTAGATCTCTGCAGTGTTTCTATCCTTTGGTCCTAGGCAACTTCCTGACCCATCCAATGTCATTTTAACTTTCCTTTTTTTGTTTGTTTGTTTAACTTTCTCAACCATAAAATGGGTGCCTGTTCTAGGAGAACTTTGAATTCATTGATGTTGATCTAAAAATGGATTTGAGCAGAAGTTTCATTGTGGGATGTGCCTCTTTTGCATCTGGTTGTGTTTGTTGTATCTCTCCAGAGCATTAGATAAAAAGTTCTGCTGGAAGCTGTTTAGACATACTTCTTTAATAGAAGGTGTTTTGTTGATTTGTGGAGTAATGAGGATGAAAGAATCTTTAAAACTAGTGACAGAAAGGAAAAACTGTTGATTGGTCTGAGTGGGGAGATTTCTGTTGAGGAGGGGGAGATTGTGTTGGACTCCTGCTGGGCAAATTAGGAAGCGTTTGCCCAGAAGTGTGGGTTTGAGGTTTTTTTGTTTTGTTTTGTTTTGTTTTGGCCAAGGCAAAGAGAGTCAATATTTTTAACGTGATCATAGATCAGTGAAATGCTATTCAGAACTGAATCAAGAATAGCTTTATTATTTTTTTTACAGTATACTCACACTTTTAGAAAACATAGAATGTTTTCTCCATTTTCCTTTCTCATGTATCCATTTTCACAATCCTCAGCTGCATCTCCTTATCTGCACTACAGATTTATGCCACTACTTTTCTTCTTTCATGGGATGACTCTTGTCCAGTAGAAAAGGAATAATAGCTAATACATAAGAGAGCTAAACATTTCACATGGACATTAACATAGTATATGTATACTTTATTATGTTTATATACATAGAAACAAAATTTGTTTATATGTACCCATATTATATATTCACACCGTATTTTCCGGTGTATAAGACGACTGGGCGTATAAGATGACCCCCGACTTTTGAGAAGATTTTCATGGTTTAGAACAGTGATTCTCAACCTTTCTAATGCCGCGACCCTTTAATACAGTTCGTCATGTTGTGACCCCCAACCATAAAATTATTTTCGTTGCTATTTCATAACTGTAATTTTGCTACTGTTATGAATCGTACTGTAAATATCTGATATGCAGGATGTATTTTCATTGTTACGAATTGAACATAATTAAAGCATAATGATTAATCACAAAAACAATATAGCAATGCTCTCTGGAGAAGCTTACTCTTCCTTGCTCAAAAATGTTGGGAGGGAGGGAAGGGGAAGGAAGGAAGGAAGATTGAAAAGGAAAGGAAGGAGATGGAGAAGGAAGGAGATTGAAGGGGAAAGGAAGGAAGGAAGGAAGGAGAAAGAGATTGAAGGGGAAGGGATGGAGATGGAAGGAAGGAAGGAAGATTGGAGGGGAAAGGAAGGAGATTGAAAGGGAAAGGAAGGAAGGAAGGAAGATTGAAGGGGAAAGGAAGGAGATGGAGAAGGAAGGAGATTGAAGGGGGAAGGAAGGAAGGAAGAAGAGAGATTGGAGGGGAAAGGAAGGAGATTGAAAGGGAAAGGAAGGAAGGAAGGAAGATTGAAGGGGAAAGGAAGGAGATGGAGAAGGAAGGAGATTGAAGGGGGAAGGAAGGAAGGAAGAAGAGAGATTGAAGGGGAAGGGATGGAGATGGAGATGGAAGGAAGGAAGGAAGGAGAGAGAGAGAGATTGAAGGGGGGAGGCGCTGCCAAGGACGCACAAGCAGCTCTGCACAATTGCCCGGGGGGGGAGGCTCTGGCGGAGAGCCTGGTGGAGAGCCAAGCGCCGGCATATCTGGGGCCTTGGAAGCTGCGCAGAGGATCCGCGTGCCTCGGAGCCGCCGGCCACCCTCTCACATCCGCCAAGGGATGGAGATGGAGATGGAAGGAAGGAAGGAAGGAAGATTGAAGGGGAAAGGAAGGAGATGGAGAAGGAAGGAGATTGAAGGTGGAAGGAAGGAAGAGGAGAGAGATTGAAGGGGAAGGGATGGAGATGGAGATGCAAGGAAGGAAGGAGAGAGAGATTGAAGGGGGGAGGCACTGCCAAGGACGCACAAGGAGCTCTGCACAATTGCCTAGGGAGGGGGGAGGCTCTGGTGGAGAGCCAAGCAGCGGCACATCTGGGGCCTCAAGCTGCGTGGAAGATCCGTGCCCCTGGAGCCGCCGGCTTCCCTCTCACACCCACCAACCTGGAGCCCCCCATCCTCATCTCGGCACCTCTTGCCCTCTCCCAGCTGCCCCCCAGGACCAGCCCGTCCCTCCAGCCTCCTGAGCGCCATCGCAGCGGTGGGGTCACAGGAGCCCCTTTCCACACCGCACAGCCCACCGCACACAAGAGGGGCGTGGCCGGAGCGCCAGCTCCAGCTTGGAAGGCGCTGCTTCTCTCGCCCGGCTGGCTGGCCTCCGACGCACATGCGGGCATCGCTGCCGCCTCTCCCTCTTCCCCACCCCCTGGCTGCTTCCGGAGCCCGGCGATCCGGGAAGGAGCCGTTACTACCTGGCAGACCCATGGCCACGCCAGGCGCCAGAGGGCCGAGGCGGCCTCCGACAGCGAAGGAGGCTGGCTGGGTGGCATGGATGGTGGCTGGGGATGGAGCACAGCCGGGCAACCAGGAGGCATGGAGACCAGCTCGGCGCTGCAGCTCATCCGGCAGCAGCGGCAGCAGCAGAGCAGCCCAGTGACAGCACCAGCAGCCGCCCAGACCCGGCTCAGCTCAGATCGGCCTCTGAGCCAGCCCAGGGCGGCTTCGGGGGCGCACACGATGGTGCTGCGGTGGCAGAAGCAGGCATTGTTGGAGGAGAAGGGCGCCCTGGAGGCGGAGGAGCCGGCGGAGGAGGAGGAGGAGGTCGGTGGCGGCAGCCGGATAGAGGAGCGGTGTCTTGGTTTCTAAGACCATCAGTAATATGTGTTTTCCGATGGTATTAGGCGACCCCTGTGAAAGCGTTGTTCGACCCCCAAAATGGTCGCGACTCACAGGTTGAGAACTGCTGGTTTAGAAAGTCGTCTTATATGCCGGAAAATACGGTATTTTCCGGCGTATAAGACGACTGGGCATATAAGACGACCCCCAACTTTTGAGAAGATTTTATGGTTCAGAAAGTCATCTTATACGCCAGAAAATACGTTATATATATATATATAGGGTAGGCAAGGCGGGTTGTATGACGTGTGTGAGTTCCGGCACCTTTTTTTTTTTTCTAGAAAAAAAGCACTGTATATATGTCTCTAATTATATTAAAAATACGAATCCTGGGTAGAGCCATGCAATGAAAATAAGTAAGTTCGTACACCAGGATAATAACAAACCAAAAAACTGTTTAATACAAGTGCTAAGCGCCCCCCCCCCCTCTCTATATATATATATTAGATATATATGTATATATATATATGTATATATCTATATCTAGATATAGTATATATATATATATATATATATATATATATATATATATATATATATATACCGTATATGCCAGCGTATAAGGCGACTTCCGCGAGCGCTAAAATCGGCGCCAAAGACGGGGGTCGTCTTATACGCCGAGTCGTCTTATACGCCGGAAATACTGGTAGTTTCCGACGTATAAGACGACGTTCTAGGAATGCAGCTCGGCGATAAAGATGCGGGTCATCTTATACGCTGGGTCGCCTTGTATGCCAGCATATTCGGTATATATATAAAATATAAAGAATATAAATCGAGTCCATCATATCTAATGCATATGCAAGAGCTTTTCCCCCTGGTGTAACAGCCAAAGCTACACTGAATTCTGAGTTTAAAATAATACATGGATTAAATGAATAAGCAGTCAGGATTCCCCAGAGAGTGGAATATTAGTACTGAAAGAGATATTTTCTTCATAAATGATAAACAAGACATTATGGAGCTATTAGGAAAACAGTAAGTTTGGTTTGGGAATTTAGCTCAGGCTTGTATTTGTTCCAAACATGCAATGACCTCTCCAGTTGGAGATTCCTGGGAATAGTAGCTAAATCACTGAAGAATCTAATATATCATGTGGTCTTATAAATGAAATTCTGTACTTTAAAACTGGACAAAGTTTTCAGCTTAGTTC